GACCTAGAATCGCAAAGGCAATTCTAAGCAGCAAAGACAAAGCAGGAGGCATCACAATCCCTGACTTGAAGTTATACTACAAAGCAACAGTAGTAAAATCAACATGGTATTGGAATCAAAACAGAGCTGAAGATCAGTGGAATAGATTAGAAGATACAACCACAACTACGAACACACTCAACCACCTTATTTTTGATAAAGGAGCCAAGCAGGTTCACTGGAAGAACGACAGTCTCTTTAATAAATGGTGCTGGAAAAACTGGCTCTCCATTTGCCGAAAACTAAAGCTAGACCCATGTCTATCACCATGTACTAAATTAAAATCTAAATGGGTCAAAGATCTGAATATTAAAACAGAAACACTAAATCTATTGGAAGACAAAATAGGTAGAAACCTTGGAGACATAGGAGTAGGTAAAGAATTCATGAACAGGACTCAAACCGCACGGGAAATACTTCCCAGAATCAATAACTGGGACCACTTCTTATTAAAAAGTTTCTGCATGTCAAAAGAAATCTCCAGCATAGTGAAAAGAAAACCCACAAACTGGGAAAAGATTTTAGTGAACTCTCTCTCAGACAAGGGCCTCTTGTCTAAAACATACAAAGAATTAAAGAAACTCAGACCTCCGAAATTCAAAGATCCAATCCAAAAATGGGCATCTGAGATGAATATGCAATTCTCAGATGAAGAAATGCAAATGGCAAATAAATACATGAAAAAATGCTCATCATCATTGGTCATTAGAGAAATGCAAATTAAAACCACACTGAGATACCATCTCACTCCTGAAAGAATGGCCAGGATCAAGAAAACCGACAACAAATGCTGGAGAGGCTGTGGGGAAAAAGGAACTCTCCTGCACTGCTGGTGGGAGTGTAGACTGGTACAGCCTTTGTGGAGATCTGTCTGGAGATTTCTCAAAAAGTTGGGACTGGAAATCCCATTTATTCCAGCTATTCCACTTCTAGGCATATTCCCAGAAGAACTGAAAGCATCATACCACAGTGATATATGTGCACCTATGTTTATAGCAGCACAATTTGTAATCGCCAGATCTTGGAAACAACCCAAGTGCCCATCAACTGAGGAATGCATAAAAAAGTTGTGGTATTTCTATACAATGGAGTATTATTCAGCTATAAAGAAGGATCACATTGAGATATTTATCAATAAATGGGCACAGCTTGAGACCATACTCATAAGTGAAATAAATCAATCTCGCATGTGTGAATACCGAATAGTTTCCCTAATGTAAGTAATGATTCAAATATATAAAAATATGTGGTAATCATGATTCCCCATTAGGTGGCCTTGAAGCCTTATAAAGTTTTCACTCATTAATTAGAAAGGCTTTATTCTGGGCTTCTTGATATGAAAATATTTGAAGCTAGAGTATATGAAGTTTTACCCAAATATTTCAAGGAAAAAGACACTATGGTAACTACTATTAAGTCAGGTTATAAGGTGGTGAAGTACTAGGTTATTGAAACAGTCATGCTGTGACCTCTATTGTTATATTGTTATGTCCTGTTTTATCTCAATCTCCCCCTTATTGTTTCAAAAAAAAATTATTTAGTCATTTCTTATGTTTGTCTTAATTAAAGAAAAAATTCAAAAAAATTAGGATATATAAATAGTAACTCTTTTCGATTTCCTATTAACTTGTTTTGAAGTCCTGTAGTACTCCCACGATCTTGTTTTGACTGATTAGACTCTGTTCCATTCTATATGATAGCATCAAGTTTGAAGACATAGGCAACTACTTTGAAGACAATAAGATTCAGTAAGATACCCATTCTGGTTTGACTATTGTCTTCTTTGGAAGTCCTGTAATGTTTACAATGCCTAAGTTTTATTGGTCTTGTTCTCTACTGTTTTGTCCAACTTTATAATATCTAATAAGATAGACAATTCTTTTTAAGGAAACAAGGGACAACGTTGATAACCATTGTGGATAAACTTGTACTCTGTTCTACACCATGTGCTATGTCTATCCTTGGTATTGACTGACAGCTTTGTTTTGCCATATTTGACTGTATTCTTCCCCCCACCCCCAAAGAAAGTAATAAGCACTAAGGAGTAATAAAATCCAAGATGTGTAAATTTTGTTGTAAAAAAGAGAGGGAAAAAAAAAAGAAAAAGAGCTCTAACGGATATAACAGCAAGTGTGTTTGGGGTGTTAAATAGCTGACTTTATCAATGTTTTTGGAACATTGAACACAGCTGTTTGCAGTCTCCCTGTTTGAATGTCCACCTTGTGTTCTTTGATACTGTGATTTGAGGAACTATTTTCAAGAAAATAGTGTGTAATCTACTAGCAGGTAATTTCTTACTGTTATGGTTTTTTGTTTTGTTTTGTTTTGTTTTGTTTTGTTTTGTAGTTCTGTATTGCGTGTACCCTTACGCCGCTTTGGTTTGTTTTGTGTTTTTCTCTTTTTCCTCTTAAATAAAAAAAAAAAAAAAAATTTATTTACTGTTATTTATATTTTGTCTTTTGGAGACTGGGGCCTGCTATGCAGTTTCAGGCTGGCCTTCAATTCACTTGTAGCGCTGGCTGGCCTCAAACTCATAGTAGTCCTCTTGCCTCAGCCTCCAGAGCACTGGGATCACAGGAATGCATCACCATGCCCAGTTTAGCATAAACATATTTATTCTAGGAAAAACCCCGGCACTCACCATGCTGACCACTGAGTCCTCCCAGCAGTCTGGAATTACTGAATTTCTGTGTTCTACTGTGGCAAGGAATTAATCTGATGCTGTTAAGGAACTCAATTATACAAGCAACTCTTTCCTTCAACGCTTGTCTTACTCATCAGTGATCAACAAACATTGTAATAGCTAAATCTTGGAAGCAGCTTATATATTCATCAACAGATGAATAAAGAAAATGAAGTACTTACATACACCTTAGAACTGCTGCGCTACTCCATCCCACCCCACCCTCCACCCCCACCCCCCGCCACCTTTTGTACTTTTGAGACAGGATTTTACAATGCAGTTTTAGGCTGGCCTTGAACTTACTTTATGGCCCAGGCTGGCCTGGAACTCACAGTGATCCTCCTGTCTCAGCCTCCCAAGTGCTGGGGCTACAGATATGTGCCACCGCAACCAACCCAGAACTACTCTTTAGGAAGGATAAATCTGAATCACTTGTAGGAAAATGGACACACTGTAAGGCTAAAATGTTACAGGAAATCAGACCAAAGTTTAAATATCACATAACTTCTCATATGAGAAGGCCAAACTAATTTTAAAAACAAAATAAATATAACAGGAATGGACAAAAAAATTGTTTACAAATAGGAAAGTGGTGAGGAGATGAAAAGAATTAACATAGATTATATACATGTACCAATTTTTCAATACATAGCTTAAAGTGCAGATCTGGATACCTAACTATCATGTTGACTATTGAGTCATATTTATAAATTTAGTTATAAATCAACCCCTTGTGCATCTGATTAATCTTTCCAACCACTCTTAACTCTGGGACATCAATTAAAGTGCTGCAGGACCCACAAGCCTTTTAAGTATGGGAGTCATACTCCAAAACTTGATTTATCAAGGCTGCTTAACTGTTCAAGATTTTTTTTTTTCCCCAAGCTCTTAAATAATGTGTCTCGTTCCTTTGCCTTGTCATAGACTTTTTTCAGTAACAGGTTTTGTCTTCCTTATGCATGACTGAGACAAGCAACTTAAAGGAGGAAAAGTTTATTTTGGCCCAGTAGAGGTTTCAGTCTATAGTCAGCTGGTTCCAAGGTAGGACAACATGGTAGATGAGCATGGCAGGGGAGAAACAGCTCATGACGTGGCAGGACAGAAACAGAAAAGGGGATCAGGGAAGGAGGGAGACAGGCCCTCCAGGGCATGTGCCCAGAGACCCAACACCTCTAACCAGGCTCCACTTTCCCACATCACACTTAGGTATAAACTCAGTGGACTAATTCACTGATGAGTATCATATCCCTGTGACACAGTCACCTCTCAAAAACCCCTTTACGAAGGCATGAGGCTTGCGGGGGTGGGAGTCGGTATCTAGATACAAACCATAATGGGCTTCAACATTTATAAAGATACAACACCAAAAAACTAAATAAAGTTAGTGGGAAAAATCATATAGCAAATACCTAAATACCTTAACAATTCTACTTTGGAAAGGTGCATTAGATACTCTCATGTTAGTATGACCATGTAGCCATTTTTGTTTCTTGAGGCAGGGTCTCACTATGCAGTTCAGGTGGGCCTTCAACTCATTTTGCAGCCCAGGTTGGCCTCAAACTCACCGCAGTCCTCCTGCCTGCCTCCCAAGTGCTGGGATTACAGGTATCTACCACTACATCCAGCTTATGCTACCATTTCAAAAACACAAACAGGGAAAGGGTATTTTCATGCTTTTTAAAATCTTGACATAAAATGATAAGTACAGACTACAAGTGAGAACATGCTGTGGCCATGTTCACCATTGCTAGTTTATACCTAGATGTCCCCAAAAGCTTCATGTGTTCACAGGAGCTTTGGGAAGGTAACTGGATTATGGGGTCATTATAGCTGACTTGCTATTAAAAGATGGGGTCTAGTCAGAAGGGATGGGTCACTGTGGGTGACTATGGGAAGGGTCTATCTCCCTTCCTGTTCCTCCCTTGATTCCTTTTGCTTTTCTGCCACCATATCCCATAAGCATATCCCTCTGCTGTGTCCCTCTGCCATGCCACTGTGCCTGGGAACCAGCACTCTGTACTGAAACCCTCTACAAACTTGAGTCAGAATGAACCTTCCTTTAAGTTTTGGGAGCCAGCGATCAGTGACTAAACACCTCCACAAAACTAAGACAAGCCACACCTACTAGTCTAGCAACACACTGAGAGTAGGATATTCCTTTTAGACCCACAACTTTAACTGAAATATACAGACAGAAAAAAGACACTACAGAATGTCCAGGTCTTTTTTCATAACTTCAAAATTGGAGAGTTCAAATTTAAAAAAGCATTCCATTCCATTTTGGCTCAATGTCTTTATTTCTTGATGCACAAAGAATTAGTGGAGTAGCAATTAGTTTGGTGTATTCAGTAAATCTAATCTCACTTACAGAAATAGGGTAATACTTGACTTTCATAACACTTTAAAACTGAAGCCAAAGTCTTCTTTTGGAATGTAGAAGGTATTCTTCATTCAAATCTGATTCATAGTAAAACATGCTTTATTAAAAATAAAAACATACTTCATTTTTATTATATCATCTACATGCTAGAAGCCTCAAGCTTTAAACCAGGTTATTGCCTAAACTGCTAGTCCAGGCAAAGGTAACGAAAAATTATATTGTTATTTGAAGTAACTAGTCTATCAGAGGGAAGAAGAAAGGAAGTATGGCAGGGGAGGAAAGATTTTGAAAATGTTAATTTTATGAAAAAATAAAAGATGGACTTCTTTCTTCAGTGTTCAGTGATAAACTGAACAGCAATATCCCTACTCGAAGCATATAAAAGTGACCTAAAATTAATCAAAGTGTGTAACAAATTCACATTAAAAATGACTCATCAGAGCTGAGGATTTAGCTTAGTGGCTCAAGCACCTGCTTGGAAAATGCAAGGTCATGAGTTTAATCCCTGGTACAAAAAAAAAATTCATCATATGCTCTTTCCATAAAGCAATCAACACAAAAAGAATGTAAAAATTATTTTATGTTTGAATTTTTAGTTAACATACAATGAATCTCAACTTCTAAACTATTAAATTCAGCATTAAATATGTGAAGAAAATACTACAGGGCCTTAAATAAAAGCGAAGTGACAAAACAACACATAAAACAGCCTAAACATTGGCAATAATTTAATTCTCCCTAATCTTTTGTTATCTAAAATTCCAAAACTATCAAACCCTTTAGTGCTGAGTAATCAAAATAGTCATATTTGTTCAGGTTTTAAAATAAATTTCTCCTCTTGAACTATAAAGGCAGAGATGGAATACGTGGCAAAGGTTATTGCACCTATGGATGTGCTAAGTCTACCAACATAACTTCTTTATGTCATCATAGCCGCACCTTCTGCACCAGTGGCATCCTGGGAAATATGAAGATCTTCAAGCATCTCAGCCAAACTAATTCGAGGTGCTCCTTCATCATCTGTATCACTTTCCACAGGGATAGTGGAATCTAAAAAATAGGATACAAATATAGGAATACAAATGTGGAAATATATAAATACTTGCCTCCATTATTGGCATCATTTATAAAAGTCTGACTATAGTAGCTTAAAAAATAAATAAGAAAAAGTTGTTTATAGAAAATCAAAGTTTAAGATACCATAATACTCTCATTGGCACAACATCTAACTTAAAACACTCGTGCAACACCAACCTCTATAAATGTTGACATTTTTTCTAATTGCCTCATCTTCTTCAAGATCTTCAAGAAAATCTTGATATTGCCTGTAAGGTACAGAAACATTTAAATCTCTCATCTTCTCCAAGAAAGTGTCAAGTTTTCTTCACTTTCAAGCACTGAGAGGCAAACATGCTCAAGGATTACAATCTTTAAAAAGGTGGAATATGGACATTAATTAAATATTGACAAGCTGGAAAAAAATTTTTTCTATCAAAATTACATAAAAAAAGTTGAATACAAAGGCATGTTAAATATAAAACGAAGAAAATGCTACCCATCTCAACCCTTCCTCTAAAATGTCTTACAGTTAAGTTGAAACAGACTTTGGAATTCACAGATGAAGTAAGTCAACTATGTACTTATAATATCAAATGAGTTTAATCAAATGTTATATATTTGACTATTAAATTATAAAATTACATTGTTTGAAATACTGCTGTTTCCTAACTCACATTTCATGAAACAGTATTTTATAAACTCTTTAGGTTTTTTTTTTTGGGGGGTGTACCGAGGATTGAACTCATGATTGCACACTTACAAGGCAGGCGCTTATGCAGCTGAGATAAACCCCCAGCCCCAACTCTTCAGATTTTAGATATTAATGTTTTCTCCAACATTAAAACTTTCTGGATCACCCGATAAATTTTTATCAGAGCATATTATCTTCATTTGTGCTATAGCAGTTTGAGTAGTAATGTCTTTGACGTCACTGAGCTATTTTCCTTTAATCTCAAATCACCAGTACACATCCCCTACTGGTGATAGCCACAACGTAATTATATTTAACTTTCCAGCTGAATTACTGCAGTATAAGATAATGCAAGAGACAATGATGTGTTACTGTTACATCCTCTAACACCAATTCTATCAATACCTTGACAAGAACCAAAATTAACAACTGAGAGCAAAGCTCAATTGCTTATTTCCTTATAACATAAAAATAATTTATCATAAGGATTTCCTTTCAGCATATACACAGAGTTTAAAGAAAAACAGGACCTTTCATCATCTGTATCCATATTTTCTTTATCTCTTGCAAGCTCTTTCAGTTTCCAGTTTCTACGACGCTGACGTTTGGTGCGGTCATAGCTCTTCTTGATTAATACCTGTAACAGAAATATTTTCAAAGTTATAAAACATAACAACTACAAAGCAGAGTCACAAAATTCAACGAAGTATAAAAATGAATGGCTATAGGAACGCCAGGGAAGTCATCAAAAGATGAGTGGTTATACCTCAGGAAAAAGGTGTAGAGATCAAGAGGCATTATCAAAATTTTCTCCACTTATACATGAGAATACATTTGGCATTACTTACATATAACTGCTGAAATTACTAAGGGAAAGTTTCCAGTGACTGAATATTAAATTTTAATATAAAAAATCCGTATTTTACTACTGATAGTAATCTTTAACATCACAGGCAAGACACTTCCCTCTATTCTCTCTCAAAACCACTTACATAACCATATATAACTTTCACAACAGCATATCTTAGAATAATGCTTAATAATTATAGGATAAATAAAAATAATTGTACAGAACACAAGATCTTGTAAGACTGTCATGATCTACTCTTAAAAATGTCACTAGAAGTACCTATTTTAGGAAGGAAGCAACATGGCATGCCCTATAATCCCAGTTACTTGGGAAGCTGAGATTCGAGAATTACGCATTTCAGGTCAGATGGGTCAACCCAGCAATGTCCAGTTTTTCATAAAAAGAAAACAAAAGAAAAAAAACAGACAGGTTTTTACTCATAATCAAACTATCCTTCTAGCTGTAATTTATCAATCAATAGAAGCAAAACTGGGTGGTAACAGTGGGTGGTTTCATGACTTTATTGCTGCCCAAAGCTAAAGGAATCAATGTGTATTTTTGAAAGACTAAGCAGGTACCAAATAGTCTTTAGTTTAATTCACTATTGTTCATGATTCTTACCAACTCATCATGCCAGAATTTAACAGATTTTTCACAACTACGCCTTTCTCTAATTTTTTTATAATATGAAGTGTATGTTCTACTCCAATTATATTTAACTTTGAACAGCAGCACTAACCCTTAACTGGCAATTTAGATGAAATTAAGCTGAGCCTAGTTAAGAATGAACCTGAATACATTCTAAAGGTCATCGTTTCTAGCTGCAAGCTTGCTCCACTGATAGTACCAAGTATTTTGACAGACAATGAAAATTTTACCATAGAGAGCAACAAAAAAAACCTCAAAAAACTTGGATATACCCCACCAAAAAAAATATTTAAAGAAAAAGACTTCTGTTTTGTTTTTTCTCTTTTTCCTTTTAAATAAAATTTAAAAAAAAAAAAAAAAAAAAAAACACTTCTGAAGCCTGACAACAACCTATGACCCCATTAGTCTAGCTACATACAGGCTGAGGAAAGAAGACTGCAAGTGCAAGGCCAGCCTGAACAACTGAGCAAGATCCTACCTCAGAATAGAATGTTTTAAAAAAGGCTTTAGTGGTAAAGCCCTTGCCTAGCAGGCACTTGGGTTCACTCATCAGTATCCATCCCTCAAAAAGGAGTGAACATTACGCGGGTAGAGATACACCTCAGTGGTACAGTACTTGTCTAGCATATGTGAGGCCCTGGGTTTGATTACTAACACTGCTAAATAAATCAATATCAGACTTCTGATATGGTGCCTTAACTGATTTTAAAGAAAATCTCTGATGTATTACTTTTAAAATGAACTTATATACCTCTCATAAGAGTTACATCATCTTCAACACACAGAAAAAGAAACAAGGCTTACCACATCTGGAACTTTATCTGAGTTCATTTTGTTGACATGCTCATCATTTAAGTTACAGTTAGCCAAATCAAATCTGAAATATAAACAATAAAGACCTATTTACCCTTTTGTATTTAACATTTCATTTGACAAATATCACCCAAGACTTCCTCCTAGTCAGTTAATGCTGCCACTATAATAGTTTTATAATTTTACACTGAACACCCTTAGGCAAACCTCAAAATGATGAAAAGGCAGCCTATGAGTTTTGTCCACCATTCCATATATGTAAGGAAGCAAAACAGACCTGCATATGTTTAATAAAAAACTACCCCTGCCTATAAAAAGGCATGTAATTATATAAAACCAAAGTTCAATAACCAAAACACTGGAACAAATGCCTCCTTTAGATGATGGCCAAACTGGAACAATTACGGGCTTCTGTCGTTATATAATTCAGTTACCAATAATGAGTTATAATAGGTTCCTAAGGAACTCTTAAATCTTTTTGGAATGAACAACTTACATAGCTTTTTTGGCCACCAAAGAAAACACATAATGCTAACTGGCAGTTTATAATATTATAAAATTATACACACCCCAACACCAGGTCTCCAGGATTTAGAAGATGTCCCAAATGAGTGCGACAAAAATACTGTTTATCTGTATTCATTTCAGATGTTTTCTGTACCCAGATTTCTCCAAGGGTATGCTTAAAAGGAAAAAAAATGCATTCTTCAATAACCTCAACAACTTAAGGCTCTCATAGAAAAATGAAATACAGTATTGATTTTTGGCTTTCTCACTTTCATTTTAAAGGCAAGAACTGGATTCCCACTCATCTCTAAAATACTGTCAAAATTAACAGACATACGAGAGACCAATGCAGACTAAGCAAACAGGTAATTGAAAAGGTAGATTCAAGAAAATATTCTAAGCAATGCTTGTTTAAAAGAGTTCATAAATCCAAGATTCTGACAAAATAACCTTGAAAGCCCAGTACCATTCCCAGAAAATCCAACCTTTATCACTTAATTTTTTAACATTTGAAATAATAAACTAGAAAACTGTTAATTCCCTTTCAAGTATAAGGTTCTACAAGCACTTGTAAATGACCTTTCAAACTTCCACGCTGAATTAATAATACCACACGCCAACCTCTTACTAACACAGACCAAGTAAAGTGAGGCCAAAAGCAATATACTATAAGTCAATGAAAGAATTAAGGAATCTCAACACAAAGAGATAAAAAGAAACAGAAAAAAAGCACCACTTCCCAAATGTTCTAGCAAAAAAAAACATTTAATCTAAATTTACCTAAACCTTTAGATTCACTCTCCAGTTTAGAGAAAATACCAGGCATTAAGAGCAAGTTAAATGACATCATGACACAAAAACATTTAGAAGACATTCTTATTAATGTCCTATTTGCCCAAGCAAGTTGGTACTATGATCCAAAAGACACCAAATAAACAATCAATGAAAAAAACAAAAACAAGAAGAGGGTTATTATTAAATAAAGTACTTAAAAACTACAATAGTTACCATAATTTAATGTGTGGTCCCTAATTGGATACTAGTCAAAATAAATCATGAAAGACACTTTGAGGACAAATAAGGTAATATAAATATAGGCCACAAACATCTAATAGTTATGACAGTGACACATTTTGTTAAGAGATACATATAGAAATATTTAAATATTTAGCATATATTAATGATTTTTAAAATGTCAAGGTTAGTTGGTCAAAAGAGAATGGAGAAAACATTTAAACTTTTTTCCAACACAAAAGAAAAAAATAATTTACCAGGCAATGTAAGTCTGAGCATTTTTACGATTATCCCACTTTTTTTTAAAAGGAAATGAAAATCCACAAAATGTATTTTTAACCTAATATTGGGTTAGCTTTATTTGGACTCCATAATGAAAAGAAAAACAGTAATATGACAAAAGTAAATAAAAAATAGTGAGTAGAAGGTAGCTTACCTTTTTTGATATGACTCCAGCACCTGCATTGCGTTTGAGATCTCGGACTATGCTGCATTCCATCACAATAAACTCTTCTAGCTGTTTGGGATGGCATAAACTATTGAAAGGATGATTCCAGAATGTGCTCCCATCAATATCAGCAACTAAGATAAACACAGAACACAAAGAACAAAAAACTAATGCATTTCAAAAAGTCACCAAATCTGTTAACTAGGAAGGACATGAGATATACAAATGGGAATCATGAGATCAACTGGAACTACAATTGTCATTCTCTAGAGTCATCTTTATTCATCAAATAAATTAGCCCCACACTTCTCTCAGCACAAGAAAAATAGCAGGTACCAAATATATCTTAAGTATTAACTGTAATTAGAAAACCACAGAGCTAAGTGCCTTTTAAATAAAATAAGATTCAATCAGGCATATAGTAGTTTTATGTACTAGTATTTTATTTTAGAAATATATCAGCATCCTTAATTTCTTGTTGACAGATAATATATATCCTAATACTATGCATAGACATCTGGCTGATGATTGTAATTGACAGGGATAATAAATTACTTCCTGGAAAGTATCAAAATAAATTCAATTTGTTTTAACAAGACTTACATTTCATGAAATTTATAAAAATAAGATCAAGTAGGAGCTCTAGACAAATTCACTGACAGCCGTTAACAGGCAATCTTTTAAAATTACATTTTATAAACGTATTATTTTTAAATGATCAATAATGATGAAATTAAAGTTCGTATTCAAATAAATATTCCACTGGATCACAAAAAATAAAAAAAGTTTCAAACTTTAAAACCAGGAAGTTTGTTAAATTCAGACTTGTTCCTTTAAATAAAATATATAAACCAGATATGGTGGCCATGCCTATATTCTCAACACCCAGCAGGTTAAGGAAAGAGGGCTGCTGTGAGTTCCAGGCCAGCCTGAGCCCTACAAGCTAGTTCAAGACCAGCCTGCGCTACACGGTAAGACTCTGTCTCAAAAAAAAAAACAAAAAAAATTCAAAGGCAATAAATCAAATGCCTTTTAACTCCAGTGTTTTACTAAACAATAGTATAAAATTTAACTGTTCTTTTAAAACACTACCATTGAGAATAACAAGACAAACAACATAAATTATTACTGCTTGGCATATACACAACTGTGAAGGTGAATTAGTTTCTATAACTTACCTTGCAAGGTGTTTGGATCAATAAGGTGGATGGCACTGGTTACTCGAATACACACACATATCTGGTTCATATTTCCCAGGCTTTGTGCAAGTTTTGGAGACAGACAAACAACATTATCCTAGGCATAAGAAGTAACATTTAAAATGACGCAAATCCTAAATAACAGTCTCTGTAAAATGTTTATCAATGCAAATCAAATCAAACTGTACTTGCTCAACCAAAACATTAAGAAACTGAAACTAAGCCATAACTTATTCAGATAGACATATCTGCCTTAATTAAAATGCTTTTAGAAATCTTCCAGGGCCTACTTCCCAAGCTATTAAGTTTATTTCAATATTATTGCAGTACTTGCTTATCACTCTACTGTGATGTTCTAGGTCTAACTTCACCACCCATAAAAACATGTTTTGCTTAAAAGACTCCATACACCAGATAGCAATACATAATCAAATATTTTAATGCCCAATACATGTCTACATGTACTTTGGCAAATATTACATAAACCAACATTGTAATTATGATTTTAAACTGTATTACATGTTAAAAAGATTTGTTATATTTTAAGCTATACTTATACATACCAATAGACTCTCTGCTAAAGGGACATTCTGTGTATACTCTCGCTCTCCAACTCCTGGCTTTTAACTCAAGAGTTTCCAAAGACAAACAAGAATACACTTAGCTCTGAAGATTCAACAGAGATCAAAAATGTATTTTAAAAAATCTGCACCTGTGCTGAACATACAGCCTTTTCACCTGTCATTCCCTACAATATAACAAGTATTTATGCAGCACATTATATTATGTAATCTAAAGTATATAGGATAATATGAATGGATTATATGCAAATACTATGCCATTTTATGTAGGACACTTCAGCATTCTCAGATTTTGCTATCCATATGAGGTCCTGAAACCAATCCCCTACAGGTATCAAGAGATAACTGCATCTTTACACGGTGTGTTCCCCTAGTTACTTATATTAATGTCACTCAAAGCAGTTAAACACACAAGACCCACCCCTAAATTCCTATATTCCAGGCTTTGAGCCAAGAAAATGTTCACATTTTAAACCAGACCAGCATAAAACATCACTCAGAACAAATTCACCCTACAATTTTTTTGTAAAGTTCTGCTAGAACACAGCATTGACTATTCATTTACATATTACCCTCAGTGATTTTGTACAATAATAAAAGAGCTAAAAAGTTGCAAAAGAGAATACATAACCTGAAAAGAGAAAACATTTACTAACTGGTCCTATACAGAAAATTTATCAACCCTCTTTTAGGTTCTCCTTTGAGAACCTGGTGCTGTACTCTAAATTAGTATTAATTTCAGAGACAGAGACGTGGGTGCAAATCCTGACTTCATCACTGTATGGTTATGTAACTTTAATCAAGTCTAATCTACCTATGCTTTAATTCCTTCATAATACGGCTTATCTCAGTTATTAAGAGACATGACCAAGTGTAAGATGCTACAGTACATAGCTATTAATTTTATGTAGAATGATCATGATAAATTATGGCAATTGTCACTTTAGTGATTCAAAATCACCGTAAGTTCCTGCAAGTTAGAGAACTCTAGCAATATAGTTCGTACTACATAACCTTCTACAATAATTTATTAAATTTTAATCCAATCATATTTTTGAACCATAGTCTTACCTTACTACAATTAAGTGAAATGATAACCTACATTTTAAGTGTTTTATTCAGTTGTTTTCAAACAAAAATGATTCTATGACCTCATTTCCATAATATTGTTTAACAGGATAGAAAAACCTATTTGCACAACACAAAATGGCTCACTGATTATTTTAATGTCATTCTTATAAATCAAAGTTAAATAGAACTGTTATACATTCACTAGGATCACAATTTTTTTAGGATTTTCCTTTTTTCTCTTAATTTGCAATACATAATGTTTGTGACATATAATGAACATATTTATCATGGGAAGTTGGTACATACACATACCACATCTTTTTTTTTTTTCTTTTTCTTTTTTCTTTCCCCTCTCCTTCTCCCCCATCCCTAGAACCTATTTCCATCTGCAAAAGATCTACCCCCCTGTTTAGGATTATAATTTTAAGGAATTTGGAGACTTTAAAAAACTATACGCAGGTCTTCTGATCTTAATACACCAAAGTAAAAGGTATGCCAATTCATAATTATAAGCATGTTCCCTATTTTTTGTATTTTTTAACAAGGTTGAATGTGTCAGAAGTCATTTACAAAAGTCTAAGTGAAACCACCTTAGAAGGAAAACTGATTAATTACTTGAACTCTTAAGAGATATATTAAATAACAAAAGTACCTTGCATATTGGAACAATTTCCACAGAAAAAGTGCTTTTGTAATTGAACGTGTTACTATGGATATCCTGAGAGATCAGTCTTTGTGATGCTTTGTATCTATTAAAAAAAAAAGTTAATAGTAATGCAAAAAGTCTTATTTGTATAGATTTTGAAATATCAATTTTCATCAAATCAAATTATCACTGTCCCAAGGTCTAAAATAGCTTTTGATGCCTGCTATGGCAAAGCCTAAAGCATCTACTCTTATCTGAAAACCTTTATTAATGTAACTGTAGCCTACCTCCTTTCAACCTTATCAAGCTTCTAAATGTACCCTGGGATCAGACTCATCTATTCTCTCTATAAATCTATTAAAAAACCACACTACTGCTCACTGCCAAGTTTTTGTTCACACTAATCTCTTTTAACGCCAATTCTATACCTATGAAGACTTCCTCTTTCCTTTTAATCCAAGTCTACCTCCCCTTTGAGTCTTGTATCGCAAGTCCTCCTACTTCCATCTATTCTTTCTCTTATCATTCAAATAGTTGATCCATATTTCAGAACTACAGTGCTTATTATCATGGAGGTAGGTCTAACTTTCTAAACAGATTTTTTACATACTGTTTAGCTAGTATATTCAATAAAGTGGCTAACTCAGTAAATGCTCCCTGATTGTGTAAGAATTCCTATTAAAACTTTAAATATTTTAACATAATACATCTAAGCCTGAAGAACAGATGTATCCAAATCCATTCCCATTTCTTTGGACTCAGTCACATTTAGATTCACAACATACCTACAAGGAACTGTACACTGAAGAAATTCTACCATCTTCTGAGCATGCTGTTTTGAGGAATAATAGAAATCCAGACCATCTTAAACAAAAAAAAAGCCATATAAATAACTGCAAGGTAAGATTTGCCTCTAACATGACTAAATCATAAATATGTATTTGAGAAAATTGAATTATAAAATATTAAGAACAGTAAATTATAGCCACAATTAAGATTAATGATTTCCCTTAAGACTTATTTAGCAAAAGGACAGACAAATGAATGAAAACAAGATTTACAAGTTTACTTCTACAGGGGAAAAAAAAAAATCAAAAAACAAGTCTAAGAGGTAGAAAAAAGAACAAAAACTATCTTATGTAATAAGTGGAACAATCAACAATCTTAAAAAACCTAATAGTATTTATATATCACTTCATCATTACCATACTGAGTTTTGGCTCCTGAATCAATACCCCCTTCACAAATATATTAGGCTTCAGAAAAAAAACTTACAGGTCTCAAAAACAATTATGTTCTTCCTAACAGAGTATCTCTCTCCACTATTTTTTATTTTCAATGAATTTTATATCAGCAATTTATACTATATTAATATAGTTACTGGTTTAATCTTCTGGTTAGCAGGATGAGCAACCAATTGAAAGCAGGAATATTAATTCATCTGCATGTTTTTTGGGGGTTTTTTTTTTTTGTCTTTTTTTCATTTTTATCGATACCGGGGATCGAACACACGACTGCCTGCTTGCAAGGCAGGTATTTATGCCGCTGAGCTAAATCCCCAGCCCCTTCATCTGTATGTTTTAAAAACCCAAATGGCATCTACCATGAACTCAATACTTGGAAAATACCTTGAACTGTGATGGGGAAGGAACATCAAAGAAAACAATCACACTTCTAGGTATGTGTTACCCAATAGGTTAGCAACATACTAACCTAATGTAAACTTAAAATGTAAATTTAAAGTAATTTTAAGTTAAAACAGGGGAAAAATTAAAAACTCAGTTCCTCAATTGCACTAGCCACCCTTTAAATACTTAAAAGAGCTACACATGGCTAGTGATTTCCATATTGGCTAATGCAGATACACATACAGATTATGTTCTTCCTAACACAAAGTTCTTTTGGACTTCAATAATTCAGATATTAACAGTAAAGATTACTTAGATAAGTTGAAATAAAATTTTGACATTGTCAAATTCTTTAACTCACCATGAATTTCTTTGATACGAAGTGTATTCTGATGCACTCCATATTTCAGAATCAACTGCTCCAGATAATAGAACGTTTTTTTGTGCAAAGTCTAAATATAAATGCATTAATGAATCAATAAAGGCCAAGAGGCATTTTCAAATATATATACATATCTACAAATACAAACTCACTCAGCAAATCAATCTCTCAATCTCAAGAGACGCAGAATACTTATGCTTTATACTATTCATTTTCCAAACAAAAACAATCTTTAACCATCAAAAAGCAAAAGAGAGTTCTATTCCCAAAGGAGAATGAATACTCAATGGACTTTTTCATACATAAAGGATAAAGAAAAAAAGAGAAAAGAGAATGGACCAAAATGAGTTACAAGATGTAGGATTTACAGAGACTTCAGGGAGAACATGGCGGACAGATAACAGCAGCTAGGGAGGCTCTCTGAAAGACTCGGCTCAGAAGTCAGGAATGGTGCAGAGTAAGGAGACATAAGCCAGTGGAGATATGCTCTGCTGACCCAGGAACGAACTGGGCTGAGAGAAACCAACTTGGAATGCAGTCCTGGTGCTAGAACAGGAATAGAAAAGCCTCAGTATGGAGGCTGGAACCCGCACCATTGGAAGCCGCGATTTGGGTTTCCCGCCGCGCGGCGGCTGCATCTACATCTGCTCGGCAGGGAGAGAGACGCACCAAAGCTCTGAGAACGGGAATCTGGGAACGGAGTCAAAAACAGGACGGGCAGGGAGGCATGCACTGACTTGTGCAGAGGTGAGTGAGAGAAACTGACACTCTACCACAGTTTGACTCCAGCTGAGGACATTCTGGGACTGGGCAGACTTGCGGGAGCAGGGCGCGGTGGCGACTTCAGCCACATATCCCCCTCTCAGGCGGGATTGGTGAGAAGTGCCTAGCCTATGTGACCCTGCTGGCAGACCCAGTAGGCTAGCCCAACCCAGATCACAGAGCCAGAGGGTGGCCTGGATGGGCGGGCCTAGCGTAGGCTGCCTGGTCTGGAACTTCCTGGTGTGCTGCGGTGGGGGGAACACCTAACTGGCACAATTCGATCAGGCTGTGGCTGACAGGAAGGGAAGGTGGGCCTCTTATATAAGCTTGCATATATAAGGAACAAAGAATATGGGAAGAGGCAGCAACAAGAAAGACTCCTCGTCCCCCAATCCTGAAAAACAGGTAATAGCGGACACCGCACCAATAGACATAAAGCGCCATCTAGAGAGCCTCATAGATCAGTTCAGGAATGAAGTTATCAATGACCTGAAGCAAGAAGTAAGCAGAATAGTTAGAGAAATGCTAAGCACCACCCAAGAAAAAACAGATGGTGGAATGGAAGAACAGAAAAGGAGGGGAGAATTGTTTGATGGAGAAAATAGAGAAAGCATAGAATACGTGAAGCAGGTTCAAAGGGACTACCAGGAAACTAAAAAGTCTATCGAAAACTGGCATAACAGCTTGAAAGAAACTAAGGACAGACTATCTGAACTGGAGGGCAGATTTGTAATATGGGAGAATGAAATGAAAAACTTCTTAAAAATAACAAAGAAACAAACAGCAATAATACAAAGAATAGAAGATGATAAGAGGATCCATAACTTAAGAATTAAGAACATAAAAGAAGTAGGGACACAAACAAGTGAACTACAAAAGCTACTCACAGAAATAATCCAGGAGAATTTTCCTAATTTAGCAAAAGGTAAAGATACTCAGTTGTATGAGGCATACAGGACCCCAGCCACCTACAACCCAAACAGAGCAACACCCAGGCATATAATAATAAAAATTCCAGAAATTCAATACAAGAACAGAATATTAAAAGCTGTCAGAGACAAGAAACAGACCACTTACAAGGGAACACCCATCAGAATTACAGCAGATTTCTCTGCACAAACCATCAAATCACAAAGAGCGTGGGGGGAAATAATTCAAGCTTTGAAAGATAATAATCTCCAGCCAAGATTGAGATATCCTGCACAACTGTCCCTGGAAATTGATGGAAAAACAAGGTGCTTCCAGGATAAAGAGGAACTGGGGGAATTTGCAACCACCAATTCAACTCTACAGAGAGTATTGCAGGATATTCTAAAAAAAGAAAAATACAAAGAATCCAGAAATAGTGGCAGGGAGGCCACAACGAATGGAGCAGAGAACAAAATGAAGAAGACAAACTGACAGCTAATGACAGAAAAAGAGCTCAACAGAAATGAGGCAGAGAAGATTGGATGATAGGAACAGCTATTTTGGAGAAAATTACATCTTAATAGGTAATACTGATTTAGTATCAACTTGTTTTGAAGTCTCATCAAGCTTTTGTTCTTCTGTCTCCATTGGTCTTAACAGGTGGTATCTTATTGGATTTTATTATATATGATAGTATAAGCAAAAACTTTTAAAGACAAGGAGATTATACAGAAACCATTGTTTGTTTTCTGTTGGTTGATTCTAAATGCCCTGTAATGCTGTCATTCTCTTAAATGGTTTTACATTGTTTTGATATATTTGATGCTACAGTATACGAAGTTGTACTCAAGGATTTCAAGGAAAGAGACAATATGGTAACTACTTTTATGTCAGGATTATCTTGTGGTGAAACACTATTCTGCTTAAATGGTTATGTTTTGATCTGAGCTGTTTTGCTGTTACGCCCTCTTTTATCTCAATCTCCACTCCATTATTTACTTTTTTATTTTTATCCTTTTAATTAAGGGAAAAATAAATAAAAATAGCAGGATATATTATAGTAACCCACTTTGACTTTCCATTATCTTGATTTGAAGCCCTGTATTACTCTCACCATCTTGTTTCTGACTGATGTCCCCCTATTCTGTTTTGCTGGATAGTACCAGGTTCGAAAGTTTAGGCAACAGCTGTGAAGATAGTGAGATTCATTATGACGCCCATTCTCGTTGACTTTTATCTACTTTTGAAGATCTACAATGTCTCCAATGTTTTGGTTTTGTCGGTTTTGTTCTTTACTGTTTTGTTCAATTTTATTATAACTGATGATATAGGCAATTCTATTAGAAATAGTGGGAGGCATTATGGTAACCATTGTTGATCACCTTGTATTATGTTTTTACATTATCTATTATGTCCACCCTTTTGATTGACCGACTCTGTTCTGTTATGTCACATTTGGTTCTACTCTCTTCCAAAAAAGTAATAAGAACTGTGGGAGCAATAAAACCCAAAATGTGTAATAGTCATTGTACAAAAGAGAGGAAAAGAAAGTGCTCTAAATGATATAACTGCATGTATATTTAAGTGTATAAGATAGAAAATGATATGACTGAGTTTTATTGGATCACTGAACAGAACTGTTTGCAGTATCATTGTTGGAATGTCCACTTTACAAGCTTTAATTTTGTGACTTGAACAATTATTTCTAAGATGACAATATGTAATCCATTAACTAGTGATTTCCTACTGTTTATTTTTTTCTGTAAATCTGTATAACTTGTACCCTTTCTCTGCTTTTTTTTTCTCCTTAAATAAAATTAAAAAGAAAAAGAAAAAAAAAAAGATGTAGCATTTACTTAGCATCTTTTCCTCATTTACCTTTTGTCTGACTTGAACCACAGCCTTCCAGAAATCCTTTGCTTCTACTCTGTGGCAATCTCCACACATTTGGGACTGAACAACATAATCTACCACAAACACTTGCTGAAGGATAGCACCATTCATCACCTGGAAAAGAAAACTATTAAACTTCTTTATTCTTAAAGTTTTGCTTAATTATAAATATTTTTCTTAAAAGAAGCTTTAGTAATTAAACCTCACACACACAAAGAATTTAACCTTTGAAGAAAAAAAAAAGCAAGGAAAATCCTCAAAAAGATGATATTCCTGCCAGGTGTGGTGGCTCACGCCTGTAATCCCAACAATCAGGAGGCGGAGGCAGGAGGATCATTGCGAGTTCGAGACCAGCCTAGGCTACAAAGTGAGCCCAAGACCAGCCTGAACTGCACAGAGAGACCCTGTCTCAAAAAGACAAAAAAAAAAAAAAAAAAGAGATGATATTCCTTAATGTAATGATTCCCAAACATAATCATGATAAATCACCTAGGAAGCTTTTTAAACATACAGTACAGAGGATATAGGGCTGTAGCTCTGTGGTAAAGTGCTCACCTAGCATGCCTGAGGCCCGGGGTTCGATCTCTAGCAACACAGAAAAGCAGCATAAAAGAAATGTATAGACATCTGGGTCTCACATTAAGATTCTGAGTCAGTTACTATGAATCAGTATGATGATCAGCCATGTTTGCCTTAGACCATGTTTTTACTTAAGTCCTTGGAGAGACTATTCCTCCTCATGATCAAGTTATTTATACAGATGATATGAAAATAAAGAGAAAATAAAACACTAAGAATGCACTTTTCCCTTTTAAGCTATTAAGCCATAAAGTAACTTACCCTCATTCTCATTACCTGCACTTTAATCATGATTGGAAAATAATGTATAGCTTACCTCCTTCTGAATAGTCAATTTAACTTTCAGTCTCTTAGAATGTGGCTCAGTCCAAACAAAGCCTGCATCTACAAGCCGTACCTTCAAATAAGAAAACAATAAAAAAGAAACATAAATTTTCACATGAAGAAAAAAAGACATAAAAATAACTCATTAATAAACAGATTGCACTAGATATCTTAAGGCATTTACGATCAGCATTTCTACATGCCATCATAAAAAGAAGAAAAAGACATCCTCAACAACAGCAGCACACAGGACAATTCAATGACATTATTTGCATTGTATCAGTGCAACTGATACAATTCAAGAATAAAAGTACCTATAAAAATTACTTTCTCTAAAAGAAAAACTGCATTGTTCTTTGAATGGAAAATATATTACATACTATGTATGTACAGATTCCACAAAAGCAAAACACTAAGAGACTTCATTATCTAGAAGAAACATCACGAAACAAAGTTTCCATTTGTAGTAAGTCTTTGGCTTTTTTTTAAAGCAAGAATATTCATTAGAGCAAATTTCATGTGATGAACACTGAAATCACAATCATTAACTCACTGCTAAAACTGCACTATATACAGAGGTTAAAATGGTTACTATTCAATATGAGGAACTAATTTAATATAGCTATAAAGGGTGTTTGAGAACAAAGGAAGCAGGAACACAAGAAGCTGTTGCAATAACCTGAGCAGGGGGAACTGTGGACACATACAAACACTTGACTGGAGAACAATTTGATGTAACAGAACCTGAGCCAAGAAGTATTTAGGAGATAAACTCTATAACAAGAATATGACAGAGGAAGACAACACATTCTAGAATGATGCTCAAATGATGCAGCTTGGACAATTAGGTAATTTTCTCACACAAATGAACTGCAGGTTTAATAGGAAAAGATGCTGAAATTTAAGAGGATACTTGAGATATCCAAGAGACTCGTTCAATGGATAGTATGATACATACTGGTCTGGAGATCTGTGAAAAATTTGGGCTCTGGGTAACAGATTTAGGAGAATATAAGCAAGCAAATGGTAACTTTATCAAGTATTATTTGGTAAACACTAGTTAGGCAATATAGATACAGCATTCTAGAATAAATTCCTCCTCCTGTGACTCCTCTAGAGCAAAACCTACAGTCAACAAAGCATGCCAGGTACAGAGTAACAAGCAGCTTCCTATTTCCTCAATTTTCATCTAAATCAAAAGGAAGTTCCCAGGGTACTGAATAATACTGCTCTTCCCTTGAGCTCTATCCCATCTGCAAGAATGGAAAAAAGTGTCCTTGACACTTACAATACTATCTTCTTTAAAAAGAATTCCCCATATCCCCCAATTACCAATATCTCTCCTGCCACCACACATAAACTGCCTATGGTCCTACCGACGTCAGCCCCCTCACAAAGATAGATCTTTATTTTGTTCCATGCAATATTGCAACTTCCCAAAATTGTGCTTGGCAGAGTGTACATGCTACATGAATAATATATTCTTATACTACGTTATTTTCTCTTTTCTACTCCTCCAGGACATCCTCCAGGCAATTATTCTCTTTGTAATTTCACAGAATTTTCCCTCAGTATGAAATCATTCGGTGCTTACAGTCATATCACAAAAAAACTGTCTATACTTGCCTTCTCTCACTCTCTCATTTCCATTCAAATCATGCTGTCATCATAAATACTAATCAGAAATTGTTCATGGAGTTACTCATGACCTCCACATTGTTAAATTTACATAATTCATATTTATCCATCAGTTGCAAAGTACATAGCCAATAACTCCCAATAACTTTCTTACAGTACTTCCATGCTCACCTAATTTTATTCCTACCTCCCTTTTCAGTTGGCTTTGCTGATTCGTTTCCTCTCATTTTTATCATTAAAGGACTCCATGATTCAATCCTCCAATTTCTCCTTTCTATCTAAACTCCCTAGATAATCTCACCCAATTCATGGTTTTAAATACCACTCATGCTCCAAATTCATCATCTCTAGTCTGGATCATTTCCTTATTTATCCAGTTGCCTACTCAGTATTTCTACTTAAATTGACAATTACACATCAGTTAGAGATGCGTTTTGATTTTCCCTACCCTGATGTTGTATTCTTGAAGTCTTTCTGAACCCAGTAATGGCAACTCCCTTCTGATTGCTCAGGTCAAAAATAATAGAAGTCATCCTTAACTTTTCTCTTACACACATATCCAATTTTACACTCCTAAGTGCTACTGACTACCATCAAAGTAATTCCAGAATCTATTTCTCGTCATCTTCACTTTTGACCCAATTGTGGTATATTAAAATGGAATTACTAGGAATTTCTTACAATTACTAAGATTACTTCCTAAGGCTCATGCTTCCAGCTTTATCCCCACCTTTAACACCATTCTAAATACAACAGCTAGAGGGACTAACAAATCGTATAATCTATCTACCCTGTCTTCTGTCCTCTGCACCTATCAATAATCGAACCAGTTCTTGTCAAGTCCCACAAGGTTGACATACCCGATTTTTCATAACTTCCCTGACTTTATCCTCAACTAATTATTCTTTCACTTCAATCTAACCAGACAAGTAGATTCGTACCTACAGTCTCCATCCTTTTTGTTTTCTCTACCCATAATGTTCTTCCTTCAGGTTTTTGCACAGCTCCTTTCATTACCAACTTTAATGTTTTCTCAAATACTTCCTTCCTGTAGAGGCCTCACCTAAACACTCTATTTTAAATTTCCAACTTTTCCCTGAACAGTTCTCATCCCCCTCCTAGCTTTTTTCTGCATGAATTTATACATTTTAATATACCACATAATACATGTACTTATTGTAATCATTGCCTACTCTACACATGACACATATACACACACACCTAAACTAGAAAATAAGGTAAAACATAATATGAACTTATTCAGTACTATATCCCTATCAAAAAAACCAACTTGCCAAAGAACCACTACTTATTAAACATCTGCTATATGAAATGAGTTATTAAAACTCATCAGACACTTGAAAGTCTTAGGTATAAAGTGAAAAACAAAAATAATAAAACACACACATCTAAAACAAACTGACTTGAGGAAAAAAGTCAGATAATAGAAGAAAACTTAAAAAAAAAATACAGTTACACCTTAAGCATTCCTAAACTGAAAATAAAATTCAAAATATTCCAAAATTCAAAACTTTTAGTGACATAATGCAAGGGAAAATTCTACAACATGAAACTTTGTTTTATGCATAAAACTATTTAAAGTGCTGCTAAAATTATTTTGAGGCCATGTATGTAAGACACATAAATGAATTTCGTGTTTTAGACTTAGGGTCCACTCCCAACATCTTATTACACAAATATGAATAATCTGAAATTCTTGAAAAAAACTAGAAATCTGAAATCTGAAATCTTGTCCTAAACATTTCAGTTAACAAATATTCAACCTGTAAAAAAATCCTCAGAATAATTCAAGACCAAAATACAACAAGAACATGACTTTGGAACTTAAAAAACATTGTTGGGAAAAAAATTAAAAGGAGACTGCCAAGAATATGAGGAGAATGACAACTTTTTGTTTGTTTAATATTAAGGACAAAACAAAAACAAAGTCTACGCTAGGGGGTGGTGGTGGGGGACATTTGACTAATAGAAGTTCCACAGTAGGGAAGACAATAAAAGAAGAAATTATTGCATGACATTTTCAGGAAAGTTTTCCAACAGTCATGGAGTTTGACATAACAAAAATTAAAAGTATGTATCAAGAAGTAAACAGGAAGGTAACCAAACCATTACTTGTTTTTTAGAGACAATTATGCATAGACTTTAAATGATAGGCACATTTTCCTTCCACAGCAACAATAAAAAATGTTAAAAGGAACTGAATATTTGGATACTCCTAAATAGCATAATCTCCTATACTATTTAAAAATCTTTTATAAAAAGATTTTTCAGATGAAAAATATTACATAAGAGATTTTTAAGCATTGGAGTAACTCAGTGATACAGTGTTTGCCACATGCCTAGCACAGGAGGCATAGGTTCAACGCTCACCACACACACACACACACACACACACACACACACACACAAATGGGGGAGAGAAATTTCTCAATAAATAGTGAAAATCACAGAATATTCTAGAACTGAAAGCTTTACTTAAAGCATGTCTATTAACACTGATTTTTAGATGTGACCTACCTTACTCAGAGGAGCTTTAATTTTTTTCAAACACAAAGCAAGAAGTTCCCTGGATTCTAAAGCACATTGTATCCAAGTTCCAGGTGGCTGAAAATATCTGAGGAATGGGGAAAAAAAAAAAAAAAAAAAAACACTGAAATACAGTATCTCTCAGGGAGAAAAAAAAAAATGAAATTCCTGAAAATGCAGATACAACGATTATTACACAAGCAAAATACAGTAATAATCAAAGTGTTCTTAACCACTTAACTCATCTTTAATATTTTACAATGCAGTATTTTATAGTTTGAGTAAACTTTCAATTAGACCAGTACCTTTGGCTTAAAAATGTAAAACTGAGTTAAACTATTAAAGTGATCTTATTACTTTAATTACGAGTAAAAATTCCAGTAGGGATGACAAAATGCCCAAAAGTTCCCTAAAGCTATATTCTGAAAATTCCGTAAGGATCATCTCAAAATGATATTAATTTCTTCTGCACTTCTAAGATATTGAGAACTGTTATTTCTCACAGGAAAAGCAAATTAGTACCTTGCAACAATATGTATCAGATTATTTTTCATCTCTATATTAAGTCTGTTTTCAAATTTTTATTAAACAGTATCAGTTTTTAAGATCTTAGGTAAAATCTCATTAAAACTTAAATGTTTTCAATCTCAGTCTTTATTTCAGACCATTCCAGATATGATTTACTATATTTCTTTCCCATTCACTACACTCACTTCAAGTTCTTATTATTATGACTTCTATCTAGATGTTTCCTGAAAGCTGCCTGCTGTGGATTAAAAACTGGTGGTTAACTTAATGCCAGGCTTAATGTCCTAAATCATCAGGGCGCTGAGTGTAGATGTTCCACCTGAGGAAAGTTGCCAGCATTAATAGAGAGGTGGAGGAGGAGAAGCTAGGCGTTGTGGCCTTGTGGCCTCTCCTACTTGTAGCTGTTTGAGTCACTGGTTCTCCTGGAGAAGCTCTGGTCCTTATATCAAACATTGCTTCCTGGCTATGGAGGGGAAGACATGTGCTGTTTAATCTTCAGGATGAAGCCACGCTGGCTTCCTGGCATGTACTCGACTATGCTTATTGTCAGAGGAGCTCAGGGGCTCCATGTCGCTGAGGATGGCTGTGGTGCTTTTCAGGGCAGTCCTGGTCTTTGTTTTGAGCATGACTTCTTGGATCCAGCGTAGAACCCTCAACCTATCAGCACAGCTCCTTCACCCTACTGGCATAGACTTTCTCGCTTCCACCACTGATCTTTGGGCATTCCCAGCATCAATCCATAAAACAGACTGGCGTGAGTCCTTCTCGTGGGCTCTATATCTCCAGCTGGACTTGTGGGAGGCAATGTCATGGGCTCTGGGTTTTCATCTGGGCTCATGCAGGACATTGCTGTGGGATTCAGGCCCTTGGATGAATATTCTGTGTCTTTGGTGTTGTGGACAGATTTCCTGCACTTTTTTGTGTTAACTCTGGGTGACCATCATAAAATAATAAATTCCATGTCCTGATTTTAATTGTTCTCCTCACAACCCCTGACTAAAACACCACCTGCACTCACAGAAGGGCCTTTGGGGAAGTGACTGGATCATAGGAGATAATCATCAGTGAATGAGTTCATTAACGTGGTTATTGCTAAAAGTGATGTTGGAGGGTGAGGGCTAGTGGATGGGGGCATGGCCTAGAAGGGGATAGCTCCTTTCCACTTGCCTTGACTGTTTCCCCACCACCTTAACATAAGCAGAGGTAGGCAGCTACTTCTCCACCATGCTCCTCTGCCATGCATCGTGCCTTGGAGCCAGTTGACCATGAACTAACAACGGATAAAATAAACTTCTCCTTCTTTAATCTGCAGTTGTCTGGCACTGTGTCGCAGAAACAAAACAATGACCAAGTCACTTGTGAACCTTAATTTTCAAAACATATTAATAAGTTACTTAAAACAATAGGTGTTACCACAACTTTTAATAACTGATAAAAAAATTCAGGTAATGACATTACTACATCCTTCACAAATTGCTCTTTCATCCTTACAAAAATCAACACCTATTTTCTAGTTATATACTTCAAACCTGTCAAGCCCTTGAACAAAAAAAGAATTGATTCAAATACCTTTACATTGTCTTATCATGTAAGTAGGGCAAACTAGCAAAGTACAATATAAAATTGCAAATTCTAAAATCTCTGGCAATACCTACACAAATTCTGTACATCTTGCTATAACCTAAGCATAGCCCAGTGATTCTCTTTGTATAAATCATAACTTTAAGTAGAGTAAAACAATAATGCACTGTACCTTTGACACTGCTTGCAGAAAGAAATTGACACTTGCTTTGGAATACCTTGGCTGATGTCTACTTTACTTCGTAAACAGGCCACACAAATATTGGCAGGATTTGGACTAATAGGGATACCACACTCACAGCACAAGCTTGAATAAACAAAGAATAAATTTTTAATTGTATTTTATAAACATACTAGTTAAAAAAAAACTATCAAGCAAACAAAAGCCTGCAAGTTAGCCCATAATATTTCTGGCTTCAATAAAATGACATACAACCAGGCAAGGTGGCCCATGCCTATAATCCCAGCACTCAGGAGGCTGAGGCAAGAGGACTGCTTAGAGAACTGTGTGGGCTACACAGAAGAGTTCAAGGCCATCCTGAACTACGTAGTCAGGCCCTGTCTAAAAAAAAGTTTTTAAAATTAAAAAAGAAAAGAAAAAGAAACAAAGGATCTTGAAGATGCAGAAGATAAGCTGGGCGTATTAGAGCACAAGTGAAATCCCAGCTCTTGGAGGCAGAAGTACTTCAAACTGCAGTCTAGCTTGGGCAAATTTAGCAAGAGCCTGTCTCAGAATAAAAAGTGAGAAAAAAAAGAAAAATGGGAAGTGGGGGAGATTAGGAATGCAATTCAGCATTCCTGAGTTCAATCTCTAGTACCAACAGAAAAAACAAAATATGCCTCATCTACTTGATCCTCCATTTGTTCTGATCACTATGTCTAGTGTTGTACCTAATGACTTTGTTCATTTACTCGGAAGCTACAGGTTACATCAAAGCTTAATGAGAAACTTAGAAGAAAAATCTAAAATTAAAAAAAACTTTCAATAAACACACCTTAAAACCATCTCTCCGATAAACATATCTTATAAGTTTTATTATAAAAATGTATAACTTATGTCTAAATCATTTCCAATAATAATCAGCAACATACTATTTACAGAGGCAATTTAAAAAAAAAAGGGATTGCTAAAATACAAAGTTTACCCAGAGCAGACATACTTTTAACAGGAGAGGAAATGTATCTGTAACTAGTGACTCAGTATAAATAATGGCAGTATCACAATTTTAGATGTATTGGAACAGAAAAAATCTAAGAACAATGCAATGTTGTCCACAAGAAACGTTTGACAATTTTCTAATGGTAGCCACTAACCTTATGTAACCAATAACCATTTGCAATATGGCTAGTAACAGCAATATTTAATCTTATTATAATTTAAGTAGCCATATTTGGCTAATGGATACATACTGGACAGTGTTAGTCTTATTAGGATGAACACACTATGTATTTTAACCTTCTTAAAATATTGTATTTACTAGAACAAACTTTGTAGCTAAAATTGAATTCGATTTTCTACGTAAATAACTCATTTTGTTGCCACTCCCTACAAAAGACTCTTTCCCCCATCACCAAGTCTTTCCCAGTTAAGACAGTAAGTTTCAATGATTCAATTTAAAATCTTAAAGAAATAGGAATGGGTCTCCACTCACATGTGTCCAGGGCTGTGGTTGGCGGAGTCCGTCATATACTCCATCGTTCTGTATAATTTGATTTTTGAAAAAAAGAACTTAATTCATTTGTCATTTGTCTAATCTCCTCTTTATAAAACTATCCTTCCGCTTCTCTGAATAAACCGTCAGAGCTGCGTGTGATGCAGGAAAGGTATAAAACCAACTTTGCCTGGTACTTAAGAGAATTAAATTTCCAGGCGCAGGACCAGGCATGAAGACGCCAGGCCTTGGGAGAAGCCAGGCGGGTGGCGCGGACCAAGCCCCTCGCAAGACAACGCCCGAGCCCTGCCCCTACCCCGCACAGAGCGGCAGCGCCCCGACTCCACCGCGGGCGCCCCGATAGCGTCACTGCGCTGCGGCCACCGCCCGGTCCACCCCGACCCTGACACCCAGCCGGCACCGGCGGGCGGCGTGCACGCGGTGTGCACAGGGCGGCCTGGCGCAGGCCAGGCCCGGAACTCACTGCACTCTCTCCCCGGGGCCCTGCTCGCTCCAGCAGCCCAGGCCTCGGCCCCTGGAACTCACTCGGCGCCTTACGGCCTGGCCTAGATTTACCAAAAAGTGGCAACCAAATGAAAACGTACACACGCCCCACTGACCGCCACAGTCCGCCACAGTCTGTCAGCTAGGTGAACGTGAAGCTCTCGCGAGAGAACAGAAGTACCGCGGGACTCTGGGAAGGGAGCGGGTGGGGCAGAGAAGGGGAGGGCCAGGGGAGAAAGCGAGGGCGGGGCGGAGACAGGGAACCGGAAGCGGCTCGAGGGGTGCTTGGCCGGGGCTGCCTGCTTTCCAGGTGTCTTCCTTCCGTATTTCTGGGACAAAGCTTGCCCCAAGCCGGCTGCGCCCATTCATAAATCTCTTTCCAGCTATCTCGGCTGAGCGCTCGCTTCCTGGTTAAATGATTCTTTCATGTAAAGCTATTTGTAAACCTGACAACATTCCATAAAAAATTAGAACTCCATTGAGGGCAGTGCCTTTGTCTATTTTATTTACTGTCACGTGCCTCATGCTTGCCATATCCTAACGGCACAAGGGATTTTTTGTTGAGTAGATGAACAAATGAAATGTAAGGTGTAATTTTCCATGAAAAATCTTATACTATTTTAGACCAATTACCAGAATGTGCTTCTCTATGGTGTGCTTAATATTTGTTTAACCTTACCCTTTCTTCTCCGAGCATCACAGCTCATGCTTTCTCTTGACACCTTTTCAAATATTTGCAGATGTAACTGACAGGTTTTGCTAGCCTGAGGCTTAGCTATCTGTAACATGACATTCGCCCAACTTGGAAGGGACTCAGAGAAACAGCTCATCTCTCCAAGGGTAACTTCTATGTTATCATTCCAAAGATAAAAGTCCCACTCGCTTTTTGCGTGTGCGCGAGTCCTTTGCGATCCCAAGAAGCCACAACCACACAAGCCTCCAACCCCTGTAAATCTGTCTCCTGTTCTACCCAAGCAGATGCTCCTTCAGATCAGCCGTTAATGTGTCGGTTTGCCCACCTCCAAACTCCTCCCACCAGCGAAAACTGCTAAAAGTAGTTCCGCCTCCTCCTTCTGCCTCAAGGCCGGTGCACCTATATAAAGTTCTTCCGCGCTCATTAAAGGTTCCTTCCTACTTTTTCTCCTCTCCTGCCCCACTTTACATCGAGTGCCAAAAATACTCAATCGGTAACTTTTTTTCTAAGTCTTTTACCTCCAAATTTTAAGGAATAATCAAAGGCAACTTGCCCAAATCATTGTTCTGTCACCACATCTCCTTCTTTGTTCCTCTTGACTCCCAACTAAAGAATCCAGGATAATCTTCTTTCTCAAGATCCTTTATCACATCTTCTAAGTCCCTTTTGCCACGTAAATTAATACATTAAAAGGTTTCACAGATTAGAACATGGAGGTCTTTGGTGAACCATTATTCTGCTCTCCACACTTCTCTGCTTTTCTGATGCCTCTTTCCCTCAGGATGCTCCTTCTCCATGCTGGGTCTTATTATATAATAACTTTTAACAGGTGCTATATGCCTCAGTACATACTAGTGCTTTAATTTGGATCATAAATTTTCTACTACAATTGTACTTCAGTTTAAAATCCCCTAAGAATGGTCTGGATCTTGTTCTTCTAAGTATGCCCTGAACCTAGCATGTTGTCTGGCACAAAACAGATCCTTAATGCATGTTAACAAATTAATTGTCCATTTGAAATCTACAAACACTCTGGAAACTGTTTTGCTCCACCATTTTTTCTATTCACACTGTCTATGGCTTCAGCTAATGTGAGAAATGCAGCTTCAGTGAAATAGGCTGTTTGCTCTTCATTGAAGTAAGCACATACCGTGGTAGATCTTGGGATGTCACGGTAAAAGGTTGTGCTATGATTCGAATGTAGGTTTTCCCATCCAAAACTCATGTTAAAATATTCTGGCCAATGTAACAGTATTGAGAAATGGCAAATTTAACAGGGTTTGGGAATAATACTAATACTGCTTTCATAAAACTGGATTAATTCTCAAGAAAGTGACTTTTCACTGTTATGAAACTATAGATACTACAAGAGTGATTATTTTAAAATAAGTGCTTTTCCCTTTACACATGTACCTATTCAATCCTTCTGTTTTTCTATGTTATGTAACAGCATAAGGCCCTTATTGTACACAACCATTCTTCCAGCTTTCAGAACCATAAGCCAAACTAGGCATGGTTGCATATACCTATACTTCCAGGAGGCTGAGTCACAAGGATTGCTGTGAGTTTGAGGTCAACCTGGGGTACAAAGTGAGTTCAAGGCCAGCCTGAACTGTATAGGGAAATCCTTTCTCATAAAGATGAAAGAAAGAAAGAATGAGACCATAATCCAAAACAAACCTCTATGTTTTTAAATAACCAGTCTTGGGTATTTTATTATAGCAACAGGAGACAGATTTAGGATGTTAGAATAAATCTATCATATATTTTGGGTTTTGAGTAAGGCCCTTGGAACCAGGGATTTGAATGCCATTTGAAAGATCAATTCTATGATTATATATCTCAATAAACCTTACATATAGGAATTAAAATAGCAGGGTAAATCTGAAGCTAAGACAGATCACAGCCATTCATTTTTGTAAAGAAAGGAAATATTTCATATGTAAAACAGACAAACGGTTTTGTCTGCTTTATCTAAAACTGTGCTGGCTTTACTTTATTTCCCTTTATTATGATTTTGGAGTAATCTTGTCTGAGGTCACTATCTTGTGAAACTGTTAATATCCGGTAGACTAACATGGCTCCACTGTTTTCTTTCTTCCTTTCTTTCTCTCTTTCTTGAGACGAGTCTCACTATGTAGCTCAGGCCCACCTTGCACTTACTATATAGCCCAGGTTGGCCTAAAAAATCTCAGCAATCCTCCTGCCTCAACCTCCCCAGGGCTGGCATTAAAGACATATGTCACCACCCCCAGATACTTTTACTGTCTTAATGCATTACTTCAATAATTATTTGTTATGCCTCTTTGAGCTAGAGTGCCAGGCTTATTAAGCACTGGATACACAACAGTAAACAATACAGAAATAGTCGCTGTCCCCGTGGTGCTCATATTTTATAGAGGAGGCTGTTAATCCAGAAGATTGGGGGATTTACTCAGTCTTATAGCAAGTAAGTAGCAGAACTGGAATTTGAACTCCTGTTTGTTTTTGTAGCCATGTCCTTACCCTGCAGGTGGCCTGCCCTTCTGAGGCTCAGGCCATCAATTCTTATCCACAGGCTTGGTAAATGAAATCACCATACAGCCCAATAAATATGTGTAACTATTATATGTCCATTAAAAATATTTTTTAAATACTCATGTTCATGCAGGCAAAAAGTGCCTGCATTTCTTTTCCATCTTACAATTCCCATTCCTAAGATCTCCAGATGTCAGAATTAAATGCTTGATTTCAATTATCTCTGACACAATCCTAGAATGAACTTGCTACAATAGATCAAAGTCTGGAATAATGTTAGCAAACTATACTAGAAAAAAAAACTCATTTTGCACTTTTTATTTAATCCTCAAATTTCACCTTAAAAAATTAACTAATCAATACCATTTTCTACAGAAATTTCAAATGCAGAGTTTGATACTCTTCACATTTTCTGTTATAGCTTGTATCTTGATATCTCACTGAAGCCTCATGCACTCATAAGTGGGCCTTTTCAGAGGCGACTGGATCTAGGGTATTTTTGGCATTAAGGGTATATGATAAAATTGGTTTAGCATAATGCTGAACATAAATGGTGGATGGAATGTTAAGTGGAGAAAGAAAAGGCAGGCCTGCTGCTGCTTGCTTACTGCTTGCTTCCTTCTGTCTGCCGTGCCATGAACTGTGTTTCCTCTGTGATAGCCTTCTGCCATGCCACTCTGCCTTGGAGCCAGCTGACTATAGACTGGAACCTCTACAAACTGTGAGCCAAAAATGAAACTTTCCTCCTTTAACTTGTGGGTGTTGAACTTTCTGTCTTCGCAAGAAGAAAAGAAACTAAACACTATCAAATGTGATAATATCCTGAGGAATGTCAAGATGACAGTGGACCTATTAGAGTACTCTTAGAATCAAGACCTGTGGAGGGTAAGGGACAAAAGCACAACTGATCAGAAAGGAGAGTTCTCTTGTCCTGCAGTCTGATGGAAATGTCTAACTCTAAGTGAGGTTTTAAGGTAAATTTCACCATTCAGTTGATTGGATTACTGAGAGTTCCCCCCCAGTCTTTGTTCACTGATGAGTTATCTGATGTGACTGTCCCAGGAAAGGGGCATAACCTTGAGTGATGGTTCTCTCTTCAGCCAACACAGTCTGAATAGTGAGTGAAACAGTGCTTTTATGCCAGCTGAACTCCCTGAAGTGGGGGAATAAGCCCTTCATTCCTTCAGGGGATCTGAGCTGACTTTCCAAAGTAAGTATGTAGTTAATTCATTTTAGGATATTTCTCAGTTGAACTCCCACCCGAATAAAGATTAACACACTCACCATCATTGAATGCATTGTGGAATATGCCTATAATCTCAGCATTGCGAGAGGTTAAAGCAAGAGGACTGCGAGTCTGTGACCAGCCCAGGCAATGTGATAAGACCCTGTCTCAAAATAAGATCTGAGGATGTAGCTCGCTGTGAAGGCTCTGGATTCAATGCTCAGTACCACGGGCAGGGGAAGGGACTGACAAGGGCTCCTTGCAATTATATTTAAAATATTGCCCTGTACATTATCTCATGGCTAGAATCTTAAAACAATATCTCCTTCAAAATAGCATGAAATTCATATTAATCTAAGCAAAAAGTATCAAAACTTTTACATGCTTTTTCAATGCAAATACAAAGATAATATGAATATCAAATTAATATTGTTACCCAAAATAATTCTGAAAATCACCTCCCATGTTACAAATACTGTAGATTTTTAAACAGAAGGCAGAAAAGGTTTTTAAAATTTATTATTGAAGAAATAATGTACGAAATATATTGCAGAATAGAAGGACATGAATTTATGTCACATAGTGAAAAAATTTACCATATTCTCAATAAGACTGATGAAAACAGCTGTATACCATTGATCTTTATCACAAGGTTTCAGAAACTGGAACCAAAAGGAAGACCCTAAATGTTTCCAGAGGGAAGAATCATGATTTGCCTTTCTAAGTCATGCATCCAGTGACCTGCTTCTAACCAGGGTCCACCTCCGAGGAGCAGCTTTCGTCCACCAACTCCCTTCT